GCAGGTGTCCTCTGCCCTGCAGGTGGGACAGGAACGTTTGTCACTCCTCTGTCCCCAAGTCTGCTCACTAACAGGGTGCCTTCTCACCTGCTGCCTCTACTTGCCAGTAATGTGGTTGTCTTTTCTTTTCTTTTTTTTCTTTTTTTAGATAATCCTTGTGCTTCATAATAAAAGTAGCAGAACTATCCCAGCTCAAAAAAAAACCTATTTAAAATTACAGCTGCTGAAGGGATTCTACCTTTTGGTCACAAATTATAATTTGTTTTTACCATGCAACTCGGTCAGCACTTTTGAAAATGACAGAAACCCAACTCAAACTGGCTTGAGCAGAAGGGGAATTTACCGACTGGTGTAAACGGGACGTCCTAAGGTGGTTTGGGCTTCGGGCATGGCTGGATTCAGGTGCTAAAAGGAGGAATGCGGTCCCCCTTCCAGCCCTCAGCTCCGCTTCATCCTGGGTTGACTTCAGCCTTGGACGGGCTTTCCGTGTAGCCCAGCCACCCTGGCTGGCATCTTACCCATCAGAGTAATCCACGCAGAAGCACAGTGATTCTTCGTCATAGTTCCAGCAGAAATTCCGTGGCCAGTAAATGCCTGTTGATTCTGATTGGCTTGGCTCAGATCACGGGTTCCCTGCTGACCAGACCCTGTGTCCGGGGCTGTCTGTATTCCCATTAGCCTAGCTGAGCCCTGTGCCACATGAGATCACAGTGAAGCAGAGGTGGGTCCCCCCCCAAAAAAAAACCAGGAGGAGGCCATCCCTAGAAAAAGTGGGGATGGGAATGGGCCGGCAAAACAACAACAGCCTATTACTCAACCATAAGTTGTAGAGTCCTTACAACACATGTAGATAATAAACATAGAAGGCTGACAGACATGGTAGGGCTGAGGTCATTGATGCAACAATGTAAAATAAGGAGGACTGGCCCAGCTGTCATAGCTCAGTGGCTGAGTGTCGACTTATGAACCAGGAGGTCAGGGTTCGAGTCCCAGTCGGGGCCCATGCCCAGGTTGCTGGCTGGATCCCCAGGGTGGGGTGTGCAGGAGGCAGCTGATAATGATTCTCTCTCATCATTGATGTTTCTATCTCTCCCTCTCCCTTCCTCTTTGAAATCAATAAAAAATATTTTTAAGAAAAAAAAAAAGAAAGAGTGGCCTCAACCTCCAGAACCCTTTGCACCCCACGCCCAGCCCTCGGCCCCTCGGAGTGCCTGAGCCTTGCACCTGCCTGTCGCCCCTCCAGAACCTGAAGCGCGTGGCCGAAGTGTGGATGGACGAGTACGCGGAGCACATCTACCAGCGCCGGCCCGAGTACCGCCACCTCTCCGCCGGGGACGTCGCCGCCCAGAAGAAGCTCCGCAGCTCCCTTAACTGCAAGAGTTTCAAGTGGTTTATGACCCAGATCGCCTGGGACCTGCCCAAATTCTACCCGCCCGTGGAGCCCCCGGCCGCAGCATGGGGGGAGGTGAGTCGAGGGCAGGGCTAGCTCCGGTCCTGGGGCCACCGCAAAGCACACACGCAGACCCCTGTTCACGGGGCGGGGAAACCTGCCATCGGGGTATCAGTTGTGAAACTTTCTCATCTTTCTCCAGCTTTGTTCCATGTTGTTTTTGGTTTGGGGTTTGTTTTGTTTCTCGGTGTGTGTATTCTTCTGTTTAATGATCCAAGTAGAGGAAAATCAGAACGTTAAGTGTTTCGCATAAATTCTACCATTTACCGTTATAGTATGCACTGCCGGCTTTAAACGCACATAGTAAGGCGTGTAAGGCATGGTAGGATCGGTGACATTTCAAACTGTGTACCCGCCTGTGTATTTCTTACCAAAACAATGGAAACACTGCTCAAAATGAACTAAGCTGATAGATGAACACTATCTCCCGTGGGCTTCCTGATGAGTGAGGAGGAGCTGCAGGAAAAGGAACTCTGGGTAACTCCACCTCCCTTTCCTTCTGGGTTGTTACCTGCTGCTTAAGTGACTGCCTGATCCCGGGAAGTAACACGGTGACTGGCCTGCTCCTTTCCCTTGTCTGATAACACCATTCAGCAGAGCAAGTTCTGGCTGCAAAGGAAAGCTGACCTCAGGGCCTGCTAGCACTCCACTTAGCCTTAGACGACAGCACATATTCCCCTTGAGTCTTGCTGAACCTGACATGTGGGACCCCAGAATTCTGGGCACCACAGACGCCGTAGACAGGTGTGGAGAGAAGAACATGGATGATCCTATAGCATGTGTCACCTCTGCTCTCAGTCCGGCTCCATTGTCCCATCAGATTTCACTCACAAGTTCAAAGATAAATTATTAAAAAATTTAAGATGGAGACACAGAGCTGTGATCCAGCACAGGCCCTCCTGAGCGAGGGGCTCTGGGCCGCGACCCATGTCACACCGTGAAGCCCGTCCTGCTGGGGAGGCGGGCAGTCTTCCAGGGGCAGCGCTCAGTCGCCGGCTCCTGACTCCCGGGTCTCCGAGCTCAGAGGACCCTCTCACTTGTACATGGATGTAGTGGAGCTTGGGGAGAGGGATTGAATTCCCTGAGAGTGGGCCAGGGAGCCCTCCTTTACCACCCCTCTCCTCCAACCTCCTTCCCTCCAACCCCCTCCCCCCCGCCCCAGGACTGTGTTCTCTAAGACAGCGGGGTTTAGAGGAGCCCCTCTCTGTGGGCTGAGCATCCTTTCCTGAGGGGCTCCAAGCACTGCCACACCCCGGGCTCAGTTATGACAGCTCAGAGCCCAGCCCATCTGAGTCTCTGCTTCGGTTCCTTCCTCCACCCCCACAGGGGCCCCAGGGGGAATCTTGCCGTGCCTCACTGTCTACTCTTTCTCTCTTTCTTGTCCAGATTCGCAGTGTGGGCACAGGGCTGTGTGCGGACACAAAGCATGGGGCCGCGGGCTCCCCGCTGAGGCTGGAGAGCTGCGTCCGGGGCCGCGGAGAGGCCGCCTGGAACAACATGCAGGTCAGGCCTCCCCCGGGGACTGGCACCAGGTTCTCTGCGCCAGGTGTGGGGACTGGGAGGGACAGGCCATGGTCAATGCTGAGTGACAGAGTCAGCCCAGGGAGCGAGTTAGAAAGGCTCCCTGAGCACCTTGGAAAGAGGATTCCTCGCCCTGCAGTCCAGCCACAATGGGCACTGCTGGCCACAAGTCCCGGCGACAGCGCAGGTGGCCTTCACAAAAAGGGAGCTATCGGCTCGTGGCTCTGGAAAGTCTGGATGATGTCATCGGGATCTCTCCAGGTCTCCCCTCTGCTCCCCTCTCTGTCGGCTTCCTTCAGAACCTGCCCCTCCCCAGGGGGTAGCAGATGTGACCCCTGCAGCAGAGGCCAAGCCCCCCGGGAGGAGGCACATCCCTTCTGAGAGTTCTCAGTGCTGGCTCTCCTGAGCCGTCACGGGGGGAATGTGATACGGTCCTCACAGTGATCAGGCCCAGGTGGCACCTACAGTCTGGGGTGTGGTCAGCCTCACCGAGGAAGAGGAGAGAGAGGGTTGGTTCCCCAGGGGTCATTCCCAGGAGGTGTGCTCAGAAGACGAGGGTGTGAGCCAGCCTTGCCGGGAAGGCCACCACCCTCGGGAACTGCATTCAGCTTCCCGATCCCGCCCCCCCAAGCGGTCAGCCCCGTGTTAATTCACACGGCACCCTCCGAACCTGGGCTCAGGGCTCCTTCCTCTGGGTTTGTGGGGCTTTGGAAGCTGCACTGATAAAGCCTGTAAGGCGTGTCCTGTGCAAACACAGACATCAGCAGGTGCGCTGCGAGCTCTCCGAGAAAGGACAGCACCGCCTCTCACACTGCACGGCGCCCCGCCTGCCCATCTCTGCCCCCCCCTCTGAGCGGCTTGCCACTCCCCCCTCATCCTTTCTTGATGACAATTCTCATTAGATAGTGGTTCTCCTTGAGGAATTCTCCTGAATTCTGCAAGGCCATGATGTTGGATTTGCTCCAAAATAAGGTGGGGGAGGGGGTCAAGTCGTACAAGATTCACCACTAGGTGGTGGGAACGGCTGTGGCCAATATACCCTTTTTCTGGACCTCTGTATTTAAACTTTCCATAATTCAAAAAATAAAGTGCCCTCGCTCTGCCGTGTTGTCATGATGTCCGTGTGCACAGGTGTTCACCTTCACCTGGCGGGAGGACATCCGGCCTGGAGACCCCCAGCACACCAAGAAGTTCTGCTTCGACGCCGTCTCCCACACCAGTCCAGTCACCCTCTACGACTGCCACAGCATGAAGGGCAACCAGCTGTGGAGATACCGAAAAGTACGGCAGGCTGGGGGGTGGGGGTGCAGGAGGAGGGGGGGACAGGGCGACCCGCTTTAGAAAGAAAGCAGTGCAGTGCCTCACTCCTGCCAGCAGAGCCCGCCCACTCACACATGTGCGCCACAAGCCTACACGCCCGACGTTCAGACAATCGAGGGAAGCCCGAAATGCAGAGTTTATGTGAAATCTCTGGAATCCGAACTGTTGGTAACTGCGTCCATTAAACACACACACAGTGAGGACCAATGAAAATTGTCTAGAGACGGTCAGTGGTTAGGGCCCCGGCCCAGGAGTGGCATGCTTCACTTGTGCCCACAGCCCAGCGGGCACGACTCAGGCACACGCAAGGGAGGCGGGCGGTGTCAAAAAAACAGCCCCTTGCTGTTCCTGCTGCTGCTGTTCGCTCACATCCCCGGCGCTGCCTCACTGATGACCTCCGTGTTTTGCAGGACAAGAGCCTGTACCACCCCGTCAGCGGCAGCTGCATGGATTGCAGCGAAAGCGACCACAGGATCTTCATGAACATCTGCAACCCCTCCTCTCCCACCCAGCAGTGGCTGTTTGAACACACCAACGCAACAGTCCTGGAGAAATTCAATAGCAACTGAGCCCACATGTCTCCGCCGCAGGCCTGGCGGGTCCTCCCTGCCGCTCCCTGCGGCCTTCCTCTTCCCGGAGAGGCAGGGCTCCCGTGGGCACCGCGATGCCAAGGTGCTGGCCAACTGGCTCGGGGCAGAGCTGGAACCCGGTGACTGCCTGGTCCTGAGGCCCTGAGCGGCGGAGGGGGTGTGGACAGCAGAGCCCACAGCGGCCCCAGGAGATGCAGAGCCTGCTTTCACCCGATGGCACCGTGCAAGTCCAGGCGGGCCTCTGCAGCCTGGGCACCACGTTCCCTTGAGCATCATGCGGGAGAAAGGCCAGGGCAGCCCCAGGCCACTCACCAGTGAGGCTCGTATATGACAGTCCTTTAGAAAGAGGCAATTTTGCCTGTTCAAGGCAGCTGTTAGCACATGACCACCCATTTGCAGCAGGAGAGAAGGGGCTGCTGGTGTCAGCCTTGTAGTGCTTGCTGGTCGTGGGGGTAAGTGCAGTTTGCTTCCGGTCTCTGTCACAGCCCCAGGGAACGCAGCCGGGCCCTCAGCGTGTTCCGCCCTGAACACGGCAGCTGCCAGGCCTGGGATCAGATGCTGGACCCTCAGACATTCCTTTGCAATGTGGACATACACTCCTTGCTCTCTGGGTACTGGAAATGCCCATTTAGCGCCCTCCAGGCACAAGGACAGCCCAGCCATCAGTTTTTAGGGCTGTTTCCGATGGCCTTGGGCCCA